TCGTTTTCTTTTTTGTAAACATAATCTATTTACTTTGAGAATAAAATATACCAGTCATAATTAAGAAAACACCTGCTAGTATAGTAAATATGGCCATACCAAGATAGAATATAAGAGCACCTTGACGTGTCAAACCAAATGGACCATCATAAGTATCTTTATCATATTTTATAGGCTAATTAAAAAAAAATAATATTTAATTAAAATTTTAAAATATAAAAATTTCTCTTACTTCAATAGTAACAACACCTTCATTATCAATTAAAACTTCTTTTTTCCAATGTTCATCAATTACTTGTTGATTTTCAACATAACTTACAGGATATTGTTGCATAAGTTCATACGGTTGTATTTGATTTGTTAAATATTCATTAGTATAAGTATATGGAAGTGGTTGTTGTACATGATTGATTTTATTAACTTTTGTTATTTGTTGTAAATTATCATCAAGATTAGTTGTTGATATTATTTTAGGTGGTCGAATAACAGTTTGTTTAATAACATTATCATCAACAATTAATCTTGGAATATTTCTTGCAGCTGGATCACGTAGAAGATTTTTTTTAGGATCAGTTTTAAGTGATCGTGTTATATCAACATCAGGTAAACCTTGATCTGTAACAATATTATGTGCTATATTAGTTAATGGTTGGTTTGTATTGATAGGTTTTCTTTTAATTGATGTATCATTTTTATGTTGAATATTTATTGGAACTTGTGTTGATGCACCAATACCATTATCAATAGATGTTGTTATTGGTAAACGTGATGATGGAGATTTTAATGGATCATCTGAACGACTTTCAAGAAATTCCGGATAATAATATTCAACTGGATAATTCAATGATGAATTCGACGTCATATGGAAATTTTTGGTTTTTTAATTTTATATTATATGCATCTACATTCAACGTCGTTGCTATTGCTTTTGTTGCCGTTTAAGCACTATATTGTCTTATGTGTTTATTCAGCAACCATTTTAACGTTTTAAAGTGTTTAGTAAACGGTGCTTTCATGTCTTGAAGTTTTAACGAATAGCGATGAAGAAATAAAGTAAAAAACATAAAACGTATGAAATATGCACGGTTGTTAATGACTTTTGCTTGTACAAATAAAGCAACTACTAGATAGTATAAATGAATAAGCACATAAAATTTTCAATGTCCTTAATATATTTGTTGTCAATCGAAAGTAATTTTTAGTCAGAAAGAATGTTGATTTGTTTACTTCTTATTGATGATAAAAAGAACAAATGAGTTTTCTTTAATACTCTTTTAATTATTATTTAAAAGAAAAGAAGAAAAAAACTTCATTCTTATATCTTTATTTTGAAAGATTTCAAAACTGTTTTGGTAGAAATAATATTTGTATAATCTATAGTATATAGCAAAGCATATTATTTTTCTTTTTTATTTGACATATCGAAAAAAACGATAGAAGAATATGTGTGTATAAATAGAATGCCGACATAAACAAAATATTAATCAAATTAAAAGAAGAATTCGAAGATAAAAATGAATTTTATTTATTATTTTCAATTATCATAGTCATGGGCGTGTCAGTAGACATTGCATTATGTTGTGAAGTGTTTTTCTTTCATTTTCGAGGTGTAGAGAATTTCTTTTATACACACCAAAAAAATAGAGAATTTCAAGCGCTATAAAAACGTTGGCATTGTTAGTCAAACAAGTTTTCCTTGTTGATATCAACTGTAAAACTTTGACATCTACTGAATTTTCTATTACAACACCCAAAAAAACAAAACAAAACGAACAAGTGTATTAAACAATAAAGATAGTTGTTAGTATGAAATTATTTTTCTCTATTGAGTAATATCGTCAGCAATTTAAAGTTGAATGATGGTGTTGATGCGAATGTTTTCAGTTTGGTATCAACAAAAGAAATTTATTTTAAAATATAAAATCAATGCTTGTTGTAGAACTTGAAATTTTTTATTTTTGAACACACAACACATGAATTTATTTATTGTAATATTATAATTAATATTGAGAATGAGAACATATGAACAAAATTCTTATTCGCATCTGTGATAATTATTTCGAACAATAATTTTATACAGTCAAGATTCTATATATGTATATATAATGAAGATATTAATCAAAAAATACTTTTGACACTATGTGAAAACATTGATTCTAATATTGATAAATATGTAATTATAGGTATATATATATTATTATTATTCTGTATCATTGATCAAAATAGATCAGACAAACTATTTGTGTATAATATTATTATGAATCACTTTAAACACAAAATTCATGCTTTGAGCAGAGGATGAAATTGTTGATCGATATAGTTGACTATTTGTGTCGCTGAATGTGAAATATGACTTTAAATATAACAGATAGCGCATAAAAATTGACAGTATCAGTATTTCGAATATATTTCTTGTAGTTTTGTTTCTTAAATTTCGTCGTTTTTTATTTTGAAAAAATTCCTCACTCAACTGTCTAGAATGATATGTAAACGACCTTGTTATAAAATGTAATCTTGACAACGCGCATATGGTGAAAACTAGTATGCTCTGAAAGTGTCTTTTCTCACAATTTTTCTTATTTTTTTATGTATTACGCATCGCAGTTAGATTACATTTTGAAAGACAAAAAATATTGCTTAGTAGTTTTTAAAAAATTTTATTAGCTGAGCTATGATTTATACATTTTAACTTTGAAATTATGAGACTTTTTCATAAATTTCATATAGTTAAATAAAAACATAGCATTATCTAGTCAAATATTTATCAATGCAAAGAAAAATGTCTTTTTTTTACAACATTGCTGAATGATATAATCGGTATAAGATTTATTTTAGCTGCGTATTATGTACAAAAACAAAATTTTCTATTATTATACCTCATTTTTCAACACAAAACACTCCCTGAATATCGTGATGTTATTCAGTCGACTTATTTTGAATATTGTGAGAAAGAGCATACTTCAGAACAAAAGGACATAAGTATTATAATACTTTGGCCCCTGATGAATGAGATGGAGAAAACAAATTAGTGTTATGTCAATGTATGTTTGAAAAAGGATATATTTAGAGCGTATCCGTTTTCACCGCAAGTCCAATTACGTTTATATTTACTATTAACTTCGTTCACATATATTTGTAGAAAATTATACGAAGATTTTTTTTCTAAAAACAAAAACAAAGCAATTTAAGCTCTAAGACTACAAGAGATTTTTCTAAATTTTAACATCGTCATTCTTTATTTTTCAGTTGTTAATATTTAGTGAATGTCAGTATTACTCATTATAATGAGTGATCAATTTTTTCATTGGTAATGTGTGTATTAATTTTTATTTATGTGCTTCGTTGAATCACTGTGTTTTTTCATTTCTAATGATTACTTTTATTATCACCTAGCACAAAATCTTAATGAATTTTTTTCTTTACAAAATTTATATTTTTGAAAAATATTTAATACTAATATGTTTTATTCAACAAATTAATCATATTTATTCAAAAGATTCTTGATGAAAAATCAAAATTTTGTTTGTTTACTAAATGTTAAAATGTTCTAGTTATCTCATTTGTGTAGATATATACTTAATAAATATTTGATATAATGCTTTTAAGTCGGATTTCGATGACTTATTTGTCTTTCGATAAGGACGATTTTCCTGATATATTATCGTGAAATTAGCGTGTGAAAAAATACATAAACTATGACAAGCACGTTGAAAAAAGGTAGCTTGTCTGCCGTGAACCGTCTATATATATATAAAGTCGGTCCATTTAGTTCTTTTTGCGTAAAATTATCTTTAGTTTAAGATAGTAACGCAGATTGTAGTTTCTGATCTATAGATTAATTTTTTATTTAATCAATAAAAATTTTCAACAATCTTAAGAACTATTTGATGCAATTACATATGACGTCAGGTTGAATTTTTACCGCGCCAAATTCAAAGGCATGCTCAAATAATATAAGCCCAAACAATACATCCAAGCAATGTGTCATTAACTTAACGTTTATGTATTGTTTCTTTCTTTTGAATGGATGCTTACACTTATTTTTCATATTTTCTTCATATTATTCATCTCTTTTTAATGATGGGGATGACGTCTTTGTCATTACAGACTTTTTGTTCTTCGTCAAGCTTTATAATCCAAAAAAACATGTCTCATAAAAAAATGATACATGTATAATGAAGCGTGACTTTCAAAAACATACAGGTAGCAAAGGTATATTTACTAATGTAAATAACCATTCTCCAATCTGCACACTGATATGAATAATATGCTGGTCTAGTTACATATATTATAGCTGACCATAGAAGAAAAAAACATGTTTCAATGGAAATGGCTTTTGTTTTTAATAGTCCCTGTGGTTATTGGCGTTGTTCTAAGTTTATTATACATTTTTGTAAAACGACAGCGTGGTCATGGATATTTTCTATCGAAATTTTCTGCTTTTACACGAATACGTTTAGATCATCTTGAAAAAAGACGGCAAACATACTGTCCAGCTAATAGCAAATGCCAGTGTCATACGAAAGAGTCTGCTGCACATATCGAACCTAATTTATTATGTACGCATCGTTCACCAACATTATATATGAGTTTTGCTGGTGCTGCAATGATTGTTGGTGGTTTACGAACAACAGAATGGCGTGGATCAATGAGAGAAGTACATCGTGATACAGACGATGAATTTGATGCATTATTTTTTACAGATCCAGCACAATGTTTTTATTTGCAAGATCCTGATTATCATTGGCAAGGTATAGCATATTATCGTAATTTAATAGAAAAATATTCTACACATTATCAACGAATTGTTTTAATTGGTGCTAGTCTTGGTGGAAGTATGGTGTGTATGTGTGCAGATTTAGCAAATGTATCAATTGCATTTAATCCAATATTAGATCCAGTTTTACTTGGGCTACCTTGGCGTTTAATGGGTGCTTATTGTCCAGCAAGACAAGCAGAAGTTATTCGAAATCAAGTACATAGTACTATGGAAAAAATAAATACTAATAAAACTGATCGTAATTGTGCACTTCATATACATTGGAGTAAATTATCAAAAGCTGATCAAAGACAAGCTCATAGGATTATTGGTGGGGGCAAACATAATAAACCTAGACAAACAGAATGTTTAACGTCAGCGCTTGATTTTAATATTAATGATACAAATATGCGTAGTAGATCCGGTGTTCATATATGGTTTCATAATCATAAACAACATATATTAGCTATGCAGTTAAAACGAAATAATCAATTGATACCATTGTTAAAACGTCATTTGGCAGCAATATCAATAGGTCTATATACACTTAGTCATCAATTAGAAGAAAAGCAACGACAAGACTCAGTTGTTATCAATATTGCATTATAAAATAGACCTATTGAAAATAAAGATAAAGAATTGTTCGTCTTGAATGGTTATAAACTTCTTATTTTTTCGTGTTTTTTGTATATTTTTTTTATTACAACATGATTGCTGTTGAGTCTGCAGAATGATGTCCATAATCTCTCATCTGTTAAGTAGCAACGGCAACGACTTTTGTTCTCTTTTCTTTTTTTCTGTCGTTCTCATGCCAATCGAAGTCAAACACTCACCTCATGATGAGATGAAACATAAAAAAAAAAAGAATATATATATATATATGTTTGAGTTTTTTCTTTGTGCACACTCGTTGTTCCGTTCGATAGAAAAGTAAACATTATCGCATTGCACACCAACAATTCAACATGCCCGAACAGCCGTCTGCATCTTTTGCCGATTCATGTACCATTCATGATTTTGATGAACTTCTTTCATTAGATGATATATTTGTTGAATATTTTAATGAATTTCTTCGTTTGGGTACGTTTGTACAAAAAATTGAATATAATCGTGAATTAAATACATTTACTGAAAAAAATCAAAATAAAATACTAAATACAAATGATGATCAATCTTCTAATGATAATGAAAAAAAATCAAATGAAATCGATACTAATAGTCTTTATAGTGGTTTTTCGGATTTAATACAATTAGATGATGTACCTGAATTAACAAATAATACTGATTTAAATTTACAAAAAACTCGTCAAGTACAAATAATGGAATGGATTAAAAATGAACGACTTATTCTTTTTTGGCGTACAGAACTTTATCGTCAATATAAATTATGTAAACTTTTGTTAAGACCAGTGACTAATGAAGATGAACCATCAGAATATTCTAGTCAAGGTATTGGTGGGTATAGTCGACAGTAAGTCTTATTTAATATTATTTTAGAAAAGAAAATCATAATTCATTTCATTTTTCTTCTCTTGTTTATGTTTTGTAGAAGTGTTTATACAGCTGCTCGAACACTTTCAACAGATAATTCAAATGGACATGGAATTGCACAAATAGCAACACTTGAAGGAGATGAAGAACAGCAAGATTTCGATCAAAATGAACCATTTATAAATGCAAATATGATCTTTGAAAATAATATTATGCTATCAGAACTTTTACGTATGCCAAAAGCATTTTTAAGACCAGGCAGTCGAGCTTATTCTGTACCAGCTAATATGGGTAAATTAATTGATTTAGCTTTTTTTTGTTTTTATTTAATTTTATTATTATTATTATGAATTTATTTTAGTTAGTTCACTTTCAATATTTTTTCCAAGTATAACAACAAAATATCCAACGAAAATGTCAAAAAGATCATCAAGTTCTAAAACAAGTCAAAGAAAATCATTACCAAAAGATGATGAAAATATTTCATCAGATGATCCAAGAAGTTTATCAATATATAGTAGTGTTAAAATGAAATATTTTGAAGATGCTGAAAATGAAGAAGAAAATAATGATATAGCAGATTTTGGTTTAGAAATACAAAGTTCAAGTAATCAACTTAAATATAAATATCTTGGTAAGTCTTACAAATGTAGAAAATATCACAGCTAAGCAAGTACGATTTTCTCGACTACGAATGGTATCTGTAGAAGACACGAACAGTCTCAAATCAGGAGATGGCAGCACTAGTAGATCGAATTGATTCTCTGAAACACCTATATCTTTTACTAGAGATATTTTCTCAATTGCAAACCTTATAATTAAATTTTGCATATAGCTTGTATCAGAGGTCCAAACAGACCGTTGAGCCTGCCTGAAACAGACACATGCCATTATTTTCAAGCCTGTCTCATTCCAGGCAGGCTTTTTAGGATAGACAGGCCGCTTGTCTGTCACGGTTTTCATGATTTTAAGTAAAAGAGTTTATTTTTGAGCAATAAAAATACTTCAAAAACCATAGTGAAGTACCTTGAACTGTGTCACATGAAAAATGAGCCTTTATCATTATCTATCACCAAGACACGATACTATTCCCATTGAAATATTATGCAAACAATAGCATATGAAAAATATGCAGGCTACGACAGGCAGGCCAACCAAAGTGATAGGCAGACAGAGTGACGAGATCTACAGTCTGTCATTGGCAGGCCAGGTCTAAGAAAAATAGGGCCTGTTTGGACCTCTGACTTGTATGAGTATGTTCAATCGATCTCTATTAAAAATTACCGTATTTGATAGTTTATATGCTAAGATTCGCATCGTATACTCTTCTTCTACCGAAGAATACTACAACGTTGGGCAACAATGTAAGACTCAATACTCAGGAAAGTGGCTGGACACATTCATACGAGTTAAATGCAAAATTCAATTATAAGATTTAAAATTTAGAAAATGCATCCTTTTTTATTTTTCTAAGGCTACCATAGAAAAGCCTAATATTTTAGGTATGTGTTCGATCCGAATTGGCCTACTCACTGGTAACAGATATGGTCTTTCATAGTATCAGCTTGATTCACTGAGAGTAACAGTTTCCGATTTGAGAGTATTCGCGTCTTGTACAGATACTCCGAGTACAAGTATATACTCATAGTTGTCGATCTCTGTAAAGTTTTTTTCTTCACTTTTATATTCTGCATGATTTGACTCATAATAATTTAAATAACAAAGTCTTTAACAAACAGGTCAAAAAGGTAATCTGCATGAGTAACTAAATTCAAACATTCTACATGGTAATGAGCACTTTTTCATCTTGAGCGGAAAAGCTTTTATTATTTTATTCCAGTTGATTATTTCAAGTGTACTCATTCATATGATTTTCATAAGTTCAAAGTATGAGTTGCTTTAAATATGTGCCTACACCCATGCAAACATTCAAGTGCTTGTTCACGGAAAGAAAGTCATGTGATATAAACATATCTTGAAATCTATGCATGTCAAGCACATGAAAAAAAAAATTCGAGTCGGATTGATATTTCAAATCGTAAATTGCGTTTGATATATTTATATTTGTCTATGAAAACGAACAATCAAATAAAATATCTTACTCATGGCCTATTATGAAAAGAAGCTTATGATTTTACTATTCGAAAACGTCTAAATGCATAGATAGAAAAACAAACCATTGATATGAATTCAAAAAAAGAAATTATTAATCTATTCTCAATCAATTTCATTTTAGGTTCATTCCAAGGTATGCAATCATTTGTTCGTTTTCTTCAAACAACTAAAGGTGGTTATGAACTCTATCGATTTTGGATGGATTGTGAATTTTTTAAAGATACAATGACTTCTCTTGATGATATTCCAAATGTTGTTGCACGTACACGTCTATTTCGTGATTTAAATGATGGTAAATATCATTTACCATTTATGCGTCATTTACAAAATAAAATTCGTCGTGCTTATTCGGATAAAGCTGGTTCATTATCACATGATGTTTTTCTTCAAGTACAATATGATGTTTTACGTCGTTTACGTATATATTGGTCAGCTAGATTTATAATTCATCAATTATTTCAACAACATCATTCACAATTACATTTTCCAATTGAATCAAAACGACCAGCAAATGTTTGTCTTTATCCAATTGATCAACTTACACAAGCAAATTTTATTGAAATGACACGTGTATTTATTTCGACAGATTATACTACAAATGATAATATTATTTCAAATAAAGATAATGAAGATATTCAAGATGAAAGTGAACAATCATTTAATAATACATTTATGAAAAAATATGCAACTATTATTCGACAAGATAAACAAGCTGGTGGATTATTTCTTCGTTATATTACAGATAAAGAACGTCGATTATTACCATTAATGCTATTTTGTTATGATGTTGATGATTTTCGTTATTCAAATATTGATGATAAAATTCTTGAAAGTCAACATGGTTTATCAATTTTAAATACTTATTTTGGTAAGATATGGTTAATGTATAATTCAAATGAGAACGATTTTTATTTTATTCATACATCGTTGAATAGAGTCTAATATGTAGATCAAAAATATAGAGGTTTAGAGGTTTGGGAATTGTCTTTTAAGAGATGAAATTCTGAACAGATATAAAAATCGTTCATTTGGGAAAAATTCGTATTTTTAACTAGTTTTATTACAGAAACTTTTCCAACAAAATCTTCTTCGGGTTCGGCACACATGCTAAGACCTGCTAGTACTTAACTTTGTGAGTCTATCTAGTTTTTTATACTAAGTGATGAAGTCAAATGTCTTACTTCATTAGAATCTTTTGAGAACGAAGTTTAGCAGTGTTCATTTATCGTTTTTAAAAGTTTGGGTGTATGAGTGAGAAAATGGAAATTTTCGGTTTGAAGGACAAAGTCTTGCAAAAATTCAGCCATTTTGACCGCTAGACCGTTCAGAAACGAACAAAATGAACGCAATATTTGGAATCAGATTAGTAAAATTACATCGAGCCACATACATTTCATTAACAACTCACCTGTACTCCTCCTAGGTTATTTTTTCGAAATATTTTTATCTTTGACCCATCCAGAGTGAGTTTCTGATGGAAAACTTATTTTTTGATGAAATGTATGTGACTCAATGTAACGTTCATGTATTTTGTTTTCTGATAGTCAAAATAGTTGAATTTTTGTAGAATTTTGCTCTCTAGACCAAACATTGCCATTTTCACACTTATACCAAATTTTTACAAAACTAAAACTGAATTCAGTAATTGAAGAAGAAGATCTCTGAACGATCTCTTGTCTATTACTAAGTAAGACAAAATTATTTTACTATCTATCATCTTGGCAAAACATTTTTTAAAACTGTTTGAAAACACCTTTTCATTGCAAGGAGATTTTGACAAAGTGCATTAAGCCATAGATTTGAAGTCCTTCTATATGAAACTCATCTCAAAATTACATTGAAATGGAGTACTGTATTCATGCATTTTTTTTTCAATGTTTTGCAACGATAATGAGTCTTAGAGTAATTTAGGATGAGATAAAAAGACATCTACAATTCTTCTCCTTCAAATGCTGAAAACCGTAGACTGTCAGCTATCCCCCCATTGTCGATTTATGGAGATTATATCCATCTATCTTTAATTCTGACGTCAACATCAAACAGATTTGCAAAGTTTTCTATTTGCGAACTTTAGTAGAGAGGTTCAACAAATAATACTGGACAATCTCTTGACTTTAAAGTCACTTAGATATGGCTGCTTTACTCAATTTTATATGGTAAATAAGGAAAAAATATAGTTTGAAAAGTTTCGATAATGGAAACAGTAAAAAATTTAGAATATGCCCTAAATCAGTGCTTTTTTTTGTAAAATGCATTTCGAGTATTTTCAAATTTTCTTTCGTGATCAGCGTGTTAGACTATATTCAGTTATCTATATATATAAAGAAGAATGTCTGTTTGTGTGTTTGTGTGTTTGTTTGTTCGCGATGCACTCAGTCCCTGTTATAGCTATAGTCACCAAACTTTCCATAATTCTTTTCTGAGTCCTGGGAAAGGTCGACGTCCACTTTTTTCCAAAAATAGTAGATCCTTCGACCAGAAAAGCGTGACTAAGTTGCTAACCAANAGTTGAAAAGGGAAAGTGATCTGAACATATTTTGCGATATCGAATTCCAATAATTGATAGGAGATCATAGTGACGTCTTTTTCTAATATGTCAAGTATATATTATAAAATTATCATGACTACCATCGGGTACCTCCGCTAGTATATGAATAAAGTCAAAATCGTTTTCACTTGAATTTTGCATTCATCACGCGTTAAAAAATCTTGTCAAATATCCAAGTTTTTTGTCTTTTAGGTAATTCAGCTAAATTATCTCTTGATCAATTTATGCCAGATATTCAAATAAATAAATGGGTTGACACATTTCATCACTATAAATTTGATAAACTTTCATTTGAACCATTATTTAAACGAGCATTACTCATATTAAAAGGTGCTTGGTTACGTTGTATAAAAGAAGATGTTACGCGTTTCACAACGGCTTATTATTTAACATCATCACCTTCACATTCAGTTAACGGAAGTGAAGATGAAGATGAAGAGGAAAGTGAAGAGGAAGAAGAAGAGGAAATAAAAGATGAACGAAGTCCAATGAAACCAATGTTAAAAAAAGAAATTCAACGAACACGTTCTCCACAGACACAAATTAAAATATCGAATGATATGATTTATATAAAACGCCCATGGTTAAATCGTTTTATTCCATCGGCACCAACTGAACGTCAAGAACGTTTTATGGAAGCATTAGAAAATGCCATGACTGATGAAGAACGACAACGTTTACGTGCTGCAAGACTTGAACGTTTACGTAAAATCGAAGAAAATCGTAAAAAAGCTTTAAAAGCAGCAAGAGAAAGACGACAAAAAGAAGCACATGACAAAGCAGGTGCAGATGCATTAAATAATGAAAGAAATGCTCAAATGCGTCGACGTGAAGCAGGATTTTATATTGATCGAATTTTACCAAGTAAAACAGCAACAGTACCAAAAGATGCTCAAAATTTATTATTGACTGATTTTCAACGTTATATTAAATCAAGTAAAACAGCACCATCGAAATTTGAACAGAAGCTTAATCTTGTCTTTGACGTTATTAAGGTATTTTTATGTATAATATTGAATTTTTTTCTATTCACTCAAACAGACAAGTCATCCAAGTGTTTTCACATCTATCCGGAAAACACCAAAACTAGTTACTATCATCATAACTAGTGCACAAAAACGCTTAAAACCGCAATTTTTTTACATGTGAGACATATCCAAAAAAGTTGCTTTCACAATATTTTTTTAATACCACCAAGCATAAAAAATCATCAATCGGAACATAATTCAAGAGAGACAATTGAAAAAAAAAAGCTTGCCGCTGGTTAGGTAAATCAAAAAATGAGTATTAAAGAATTTTCTTTAATGTGATACAAATATGTTCCTGAAGTAGCTATCTCAAGACTGGGACTCTTTGAAGAGAAGCTACTGGGACTAAGATCAAAAGGAGTTTTGGTCCCGGACATCTCTAGTTATCACGTACCTTCCTATGATGACAGTAGCTAGATTTGGTGTTTTCTCAATGGACGTGTAAACACTTAGATAGAAACCTTGATAAGAGCATTTAAAAACACATTTATAGAAATTCTTGTCTACTTGAATATCAAAACTATCTTCTGTTAGTTAATACTGTAGGTAACGGATCTTAATTTTTCTCATTCTCAATATTTCATCTGTAAAATAATTTGCGTTCTCCAAACAATTATGTAAAATTTTAGTCAAACTAAACATGAAATTTAATCATTAGGTTAATGCTTTTGAATATTTATTGACAAAATATTCTAATATCTTTTTTTTTTTCTGTTTGCTTTGCATATGAGAAAAACTCTTTTTTTTTCTGTTTTGTAGTGGACAGAAACAACAAATCCATATGAAAAACAACAACAACTAGATCGTATGAGAAAGACTTATTTTGATAGTCAATCAAAACGAAATATTCTTCCATTAAATGATGAACATACTGAAATGTTAGATTTAAATAGTGGTCGTCCCGATCCAGCATTTATTCATAGTATTTATCGTGATATACGTGTTGAATTCGAAGAAGAATTTGTTCGTTATTGTGGAGATCGTATAAATGAATTTGAAATTGATTCAATGGATGATTTTCTATCAAAATCATATGATGAATTAACATTATTATTTAATGATGTAAATGATGGTAGACGAGGAGGTCCTGATGATGATGATAACAGTGGATTATTTGATCCTGATGTTGAAGCATTAGCATCAAATAATGATGGTACAGGTAAAGCAACAAAAAAACATTATGCTGAATTATTTCAATTAATATCTGATGCTGCTGTTGGTCGTTTTAATGAACGTTTTTATTATTTTTATGCCTATTTAACACATTGGGTTGATCCAAAAAAAGCTCCATATATCGATCAAGATTTTTTATTTTGTATTGATGTTAATCGTTTAAAAGAAATAGCTAATGATTCAATGTTACAAGCAAAAATACGTTATGTACTTGAAACATATTTTGAATCAAATGTAACATCAAATGGTTTTACATGTCGTCTTGATTTAACAAACATTGATTTACAAACACGTATTGTACGTTCATTACAAAAATATTTATCAACTAATGTTAATGATTTTACATCATTAGATGAAGCACGAACAATTTTAGTTAAAGATAAACTTGTTAATTATTATGCAGGTTTTAAAGCATATTTATTTCGTATGAATTTAACTAAAACACATCCATCACGTCTTGCAAAATTACAAGAACAATTAAATATTTATCAACAACAACAACAACAACGTACTAATAAATCAGCTAAAACAAATACACGTTCATCAGCATCAACAACAAATAAAATAGTATCACCAAGAAAAAATCTAACAGCTATGTCAAAAAATCATCCACTATCATCAACACCAATTGATTTAACAACAGTAACAAAAACTCAACGTTTACTTAATGAAAGAATGAAAACATTCGATAAAATTCAACCTAATAAAGTTAATGATATACCTTTTCCAAATCCTAATAAAACAATACGACAACGATCTGCAAATAATAATAATAATAAATTACGTAATTCTAATAATCAAGATGGACAAGTAACAATGAATATAGAAAGATTAAATAGTCCTAAAGAAAAAAGTCGAGGACCTGTTTTTGTTCAATATACATTAACAAGTGGACTTAAAATAAAATATTCGGATGGAAAGCCTATTGAAGATAATATAAATGGAGCTGGTATTGGATTACAACAACGACGTACAAGTGTGACTTATTCATTCGGAAGTGGAAATGATTAATAATGTTGATGAACATCATTTGGTTCTAATGGTGGCAGAACTTTTGGTGATTTTGTTTGTCGTTTCAATTGCGATAATAATGTCTAGTAGAAAATAAAATATAATATTTATTTAGATTTATAGATATCTATTTATCAAATATAATCAAATTTTTGTATAAAATATATTTCTTTATTTTCAACCTTTTTCATATACTGAAATAAAATACTTATAAAATAAATTGAGGTTTTTAATATAAGTTCATAAAAGAAAAAATATAGCAAATATTATCATCAATAGAGTAGGTTTAGAATATCTTTCGGCACGAAGTAGAAATCAAAACTTTTTCTTGTTTTCGCAATAGATATACTTTATACAACGACATCTATCTATTGAACACTAGAGATGTGAAACGTAAGAACTTTTTTCGTAATCTGTACCTTAGCCGAGTAAAAATTTTCTAATTCTCACCGTAGCCTGCCAATCTCTATTGAACACAGTTTGATAGTTCAAATATAGCTTAATAAAGATTCTTAAAAAATCGAAACTGTATAACGTTTTATATAGGACAACAAAAAACTGTTTTTTGTTCTGACGAGGTTTTTTTTCTAGAGGTTAAATTTTTCGCACAAAAATCTATGTCATCGCTCTCATCCCACCCCGTGTTTCTCAGGTCTAAAAAAAATCCCATTGAACTGGAATTTTTTCATGTATTCTAGACAATATTCGAAATGAATATGTCTCCTTTTCTTTGTTTCAAAAAATATTGTTGCAACGGTTGTCGGTAAGTTCTACAAAAACCTGTCGTATCAAAAGTAAAACACGCATGGTTTTAAGAAATGTCTCATATTCTAGATTCTTTTTATTTCAAAAACAAAAAATACTAAGAACAGAAAGTTTCCAACTCAATTAAATATAGTAAGCGGCAGAATCGGACTCAAAAAAAAGGAAGTTGTTTTGACTCATTATGACATTAGTATCTCATAAAAGAAAATATTTGGGAATTTTATAGAAATTTCGGAAAAGGTGAACGAATATTCTTATTATTAAATTACGAATAGAGGTCAACAAAGAAAAAGCTGTAAGTGAAATCTCTGCAGGATTAAATTGTGAAATACAATGTAGCTGTCGTTGCTAATCGCAGAGATTTATTTTATTCGATCTATTTTCAGGCACATGTTTTTAACATCCTTTTGCCTAATTCTCTATAAATGCAATAAGTCTTTGATTGTATACGAATAAGATCTCTCATGATTTGTGACGTGAGAGTGAAGGCGACTTGCCAAGGTGCTTGTCACAATCTATGATAGACAGAAGTTGTTGCTAAGACATCTGCCACGTTCTATGATGAAGGAAAGACGCTGCTAGAAATGCCAATCACGTCCATTATATACTATTGCTAAGATTTCTACCATGGTCTGTTGGTCCTGTCTCTCACGATTAGTGACCTTTCCATGATAATGTCTGTCATGATCAGTAGAGGATATATATTTCTATCCTATATACTACAGTATTCCTTTTAGATTGTATTTCACAAAGAATAAGTTTGATTTTATACGTATATGAAAACTTACTTCAGCAATATTTACTCTTTCTGTCCAAATATCAATTTCATGTTTTAATTTTTTTGTTTGTTGAATAGTATAAGCATATTCGGTAATTGTTGGTACTTTTTTAATATCTGCTATTTGTTTTTTTAAAAAATTATTTTCATTTAAAATTAATTCATTTTCATATTTAATAGAAGAAATTTCATGATTAAGTTGTTCTAAATAAATTTCTATTAATTCATATTTATGTTGATCATTAATTATTAATTGTTCTTGTTTAGATAATTTTTTTTTCCATTCTTGTAAATAACGAATTAATGGATATTGTGATGATTTATTCATTGTAAATTGTCTTTCAAGCATTTTATATGAATCTAAATAATTAGTTTGTTTTGTTCGAACAAAATTAATATCAATTTCATCCATTTTTTCATGTAAGTTATCTAAATCTTGCATATATGCATCAACCATTCGAATACGCACTTGTGCAGATGCAGTTTCCATATTTAAAAAATCAATGAAACGTTCTTGTGCTCGTATTTGTTTATTAATACGATTAATAAGAATATCAGTTGAAACAGTTAAACGTTTATTATTTAAATTGTCTTTACTAAAATTATGTTGAAATTTATGTATATGTTTTTCTAAATAATTATTGAGTTTTTCTTCATTGATTTCATCAGATTCAGCAGTTCGAAGAAGAACCTAGATATATATATATATATATTTATGAAACATCTTATTATTTACATAGATTTTACACTTGACAATAGAAAAATTTATTAAATTCTATTTGCAAATTAAAATGTATGCTCTTCAAAATGAATATCTTAACTTCATATAACTATTGAAATTTAATATAAAAAATAAACTGAATTGACTAAACTATTCTTTTTTAAGCATGATATATAATACAAATTACAATTAATTGAAAGGTTCAAGTCTATAATGTCATAGTGAAAAAAAAGTAAAACATGTCATTACAATTTATTCAAATAAAGAATACAAGAATAAATCGTCTTTCGACTAATTTTGTCATAAAGAATTTTCACTGAAAAACAATGTTGAAGTAGAAAGTTTTTTTCTCTCAATCGTGCTTGAACTTTCTATGCATACAAACTAAAGTATATATGGATCATGAATATCAGCATCATTGTGTTATCGGACAGGTTAATTGAGACTATCAGCAGTTATGTACTTATTAAATAACTTTTCATATCTAATTCGTTAGTAACATAATTTCACCAAATAAAAATGTTTGTCTCTCTCGACTTATGCAATTATTTTAGCTAATATTCATGTAATAGATGTATGTTGACTTACTCTAGATATTCTGAAAAGTTCAGTCCTATGCATCTTGGTTCTACGACCGAGTTATTATTGAAAAACTAGCGTTAGCAGGGACATGACACAAAAAATGGCAAAGGTTTTCATTACGTGTGTTTTGTAGAGAACTCTTCAGGCTACAAAATCTCTATGTCAATTTTTTGCTTGAACATGCTTAGATTTTTCAAAAAATTGAATTATTCGTTGTTAGCGACTTGATAATTCTTGACTGAACTCGGACCAAAGTAGGTCTTTGGAAAACTGATTTTTGAGAGACCATATTTTCAAGTTTGAATTTGATGAAAATTTCATCATAGATATAAATTATGACGCGAAGTCATATTCCGAAACTTAGATTTTTTCGTCTAAGCTTAAGGAGTTCTTCACGAATTACATTTTTAATTAATTAACTAGTTAAGTTTATTTAGCTGTGAGTTGAAAGAACCAATGGTTTTACATTCATAGTGAACAAAAGTCTCCATCCCTAGCCGACTTCGGCTACTATATATACTGAAGATCAGAAAATATTTGTACACATATTTCACCAAGAATGTAGGTCATTGGCATGGCAACACCGTTATTGGTTAATTACAACAAGAGTTATTATGGATGACATCTATTTTTGTTTGCAATTTCGTAACTCTGGAAAACAAGATTACTTTATGTCAACTGACTCCTCAATATGTTATACTAATATACTTCAGCTATTTACATTACTAATTTGATTGAAGTTAATTAATCCTTTCAAAGACTATGTTTATTTTACTGTGATAAATTTTTGTGTAGAGAAAACATCTATACTGCCTTTTTGAGAAGTATTATCTTTAAATTCCCCAAAGTGAATCTTGTACTAGAGAGAAATAAAACATAGATGATAATCTTGTTTGTTTCAAAGATCGAAAAACATCTATATTCGAGTCATATAATGCTCAGAGCAACAATACGTGCCATCCATCATGACTCCGGTTGTAATTAAGCAACAATGGCGCCACAATGCCAATGATCTACATTCTTAGTCGAGTACGTGTACGCAAATTTTAAGACCTTCAGCATTTATAGTAATTCAGATGGAGACTTATCTTCTACTGTATATTCAGGATAAAAGAACTTGTGGACCAAAAAACAACTCCAAATAAACTATCAAAAGTCAAATCGAAATGGTCATGTTTCGCTTTTGCCCTATATCTACATAAAATTCTTAAAACTTACATCTAATTGATCTAATTCTAAAACAGAACTAGCTTTCATTCTTTCCCAATCTAATCGTGTGTGTTCAATTTCATATGCAGCAATCGATAATTTTTCTTTTTCAATACGTAAAAGACGTGCTGCATTCATAGCGTCACTTGAACTCGTTATCAATTTATTCCATAATGATGTTGCATTTGATGTACCAGTCGACTTTTTTTCCACTAGAAAAAAAACGTATCAATTCGAATAAATTAAATTGAATAATAAGAAAAGTTATATTTCATTTTACTAGATAAACGTCTTGCTATTTTAGGTAATTTAGTACGAAAAGAATTTTCATTTGAATTAATATATAATTCTTTTTGAATAATTTCATCTTCGCTTGCATATTGATCAAATGTTTCGATAATATTTGAACTATTAACACGTCGTAAATAACGTGAATAAAGTAAATTTTCCAAACGTAGATTTTCATTTTCTTTTCTTTTAATTAATAATTAAGAAAATAATTTTTATGTAGACAAAAAAAAGCAAAATTTATTTACATACTTTATTTTATGTATTACTTCTTTTAATTGTTCATTTTGAATACGATTAATAATAGTATCAGTTTCTAACGATGATACTTCTAAAGAAAATCCACGTCTTATACGTCCTACTTTTTCTGTTGGCAAAGTTACTTCATAGGAACTTGTACGGCGAAATCGATCTGCTAAATGATTTTTCATTACGAAAAATTCTTTTTCAACAAATTAATATATATATATATAT